CCATGCAGCTAAACATCTTCGGCTGCAGAAATGAATAAAAAAAAAACTAGACGCTGAATTCTGGGAGAGCATACAAAAGCAGTATCATTTAGCTGGTACATTAAATTACAGCTCAGAAGTCATATTTTAACAACTCATCTGCCCCGACTCTATAAGGGGCGTTGGTTACTCAGTGTTGATTGATAAGTTTTGATGCTGGTAATATTTACCTAAGACAACAATATAGGGTTGCGTGTTGATGGACCAGAGGTTTGGGGCGGATAGTCATCATTAAACACGCTTCATGTATCCCATCCCTTATCTTGTACTCATTTCGCTTTTATGCCCATCCCTATCAGGACATCTTTAAATTCGCAGGAACTTTTAAACTTTACTTGCTACTTCCTTTACTTAAGCTCTCCAGCTCCTTTTGTATATACTACTACGTATTATCTATGTGAAGACGGACAGCCCCTATACTTTTAGTATGAGAAAAAATACCTGTTGTCGTCACTGGAAATGAAAATCGATATGCATACCATGTTTCATCCTCAGTGCTGCTGCGTTAGCAAGTTTAGAAGGAGTGAAAAAGTAATTTTAAAGAAAGTGCCCTGAGGCTATTTGTGATTTGTGACGTCGTCCCATAGAACGCAATGTTCCACACATACGTACCAAGTTCATCTCCGATGCATTAGGGTACAGCCTAGAGTGAGTTTGAGGGTGAGGAGAAAGTAATTTTTGCCTGAGGTACTTGTTGTGCGTCGTCATGAAACGATGTAATATCACCAAGTTCACCTCCATGGCCTGCCTACAGTAGCAAGTTTGAGGAGTGAAGAAGTAATTTAAAGAAACATTAGCCCGCCAGCTATTGTTAGGTTGTGCGTCATCATGGAAATGATGAAATGACATGCGCCACCAATGGGTTTCACCATCCATGCGTGGGGCCTACAGTTAGCAAGGTTCGAGACGATAGTGAAGGGGCGCAGTATTCTAAAGAAAGAGCTGCCCTGAGGCTAATTGTTGTTGTGGGTCGTCATCGCGCGAACGATGTAATACGGCAATAACGCCACCAACTTTCACCTCCATCGTGCTGCACTACAGTTCAAGTTTGAGGATGTGAAGAAGAGTGTTTTTAAAGAAAAATTTTGACCATGAAGGCTTCAAACAAAAGTGCTGTCGTACATGCGAAACATGTAATCTGTCATGCGACAATGAATAATTAGGCTACATACAGTGTCAACTCTATACGTGCTACCATTGCGAGAGTTTGAGCGATGTGAAGAGAGTAATTGAGAAAAAAAAGGTGCCATGAGGCTATTTGTTGTATGTTACAAAACATGTACTGTTGGGATTTGTGAATTGTGGTGCATGAATACATTAGTCTACACAGGTTTGTTCACATCGCTCTAGCCATTTGTGAGGTTCTACTGACACATCTGATACAATGATAATGTATGCCTGGGATATTTGTTGTGTTTCACAGATATATAATGTTGTTTACAAAGAATTACAAGTGTATGACCAGTCTCTTCGGATGATGGCATATCTACATATCATTACAAATTTATACTATATGTTATTTGTTTTGAGTTACGCGAGTTCAATTCTGAAGAAGAAGCAAAGCAAGCGAAACAAGAAGAAGACTATGACATAACTCCCTATACATAGACCCATAAATACTATAGATGCTAAGGTACCATCCATCCTATCACGAAGTACTGGTCGTTAGTACTTAGTATACAAGTAAATTAAAAATCCTGACCGATTTAAAAAGGCGCATATAAGGCGATGTATAAGAAGCAAAGGGCGACAAGATCGGATTGGATACGATGAAGCATGGTTAATGAACCGTTTTGAGTACGCTGACACCCCAACCCCAGCCCACCGTCCCCTATATTGTTGCCTGGTGCTGCTACTAGGCGCGCTAAATGGTTACTAAAAGCAAGCATTCTTTCATCGTGTCGCCTAGTATGGTTTTTAGTAAAATTATACTGCCACATATCCCTTTAATTAACTCCACTGGATCTCTATAATGGGTGTCAGGTTACTAGTGTAATGCATGTAGTTAGAGAATTGTAATCGAGCTGAATGTTTAATAACTTCACCTAGAGCAAACAATATGGGATGGTTTGTGAGGGAGTGGGGAAGATGTCAGCGTACTACAAAACTGTTCATTAACCAGGCAATTCATGTATTGCCATAACCCTATCTGTCTCCCATTCTTTTTATACCATCCTATATGCACCTTTTTAAATTCGATATTTAATTTACTTGTACTCCACTCATTTATATGTATTTCCTCTGTAATAGAGAAAAATGCCTTGTGTCGTCACGGCCAAATAATTGCATAATATACCAGGTGCACCCCATGCCGTAGCACAGTAGCAAGTTTGAGGAGGGTGAAAAGTAATTTATAAAGAAGCTGCCTGAGCGCGATTTGTGTTGTGGTCGATCATAGAACAGATGTTATACCACATGCGGCACCAAGTTATCATCTCCATGCATGCTAATAGATTAGCAGGTTGAGGAGTGAAGAAGCTAATTTATTTAAGAAAAGTGCTGAGCTATGGTTGTTGTGCGTATGTACATGGAAACGATTGTTAGTATACACATGCAGCACCAAGGTCTCACCTCCATGCGTTGACTACAGATTAACAGTTGAGAATCTGAAAGCAAAGTAATATTAACAGAATATTGCCTGAGGCTTTTCACCCAATATGCGGTAGTCAGTGGAAACTGTAATCGTCACGGAAATGAGAGAAATGCATATACAAGGCTATACATACCATGTTTCATCTCTATGATGTAAGCTACCATGGAAAAAGTTTGAGAAAGTTAGTGAAGAAGTAAATAAAAGAAAGTGCACCTGAGGCCTATTGGTTGTTGTCTACAAACATGTGTTGTTGTGATTTTAATGTAATACAGTATGTGTACAAAGTTTCGTTCACATGAGCTTCCTACCATTTACGGAGATCGTCAGGACACATAGTGATCCAATTATAATGCTATTACCCGGGGAATTTGTGTTGTTTACAGTAACAATGTTCGATTTACAAAGAAATACGTATGAACAGCCTTTCGGTCCGTGAGCCGAGGCCCGGGGCCTGTCGGCGCATCCATAGCGCAAGCGATGGGCCTACTACCAGGGCCCGAGGCTCACTAAATCGCGTCGTTCCAGGGAGGCCGACGATCCTAACCTATCTCTAGACTACAGCGCAGGGGGCGCAAGCAACGCACGCTGCATTGAGGATAATGGATGGCTTACAGAACTCGGAAGTAGGCGGCAGCGGCTAGTTTGCCAGCGGCCACAGCCCATTTCAGGAGAAGCGTAAACAATGACTCTACCTGGTGGGTATATAGGAGGTGTTCTAGGCGCGGCGGCTCGACCCTAATGCGAAAGTGAGCGGGCGCCGCTGGGCGCTTCTCGCGTGCGCGTCTGGCTCGAGCTGTATAGCTAGGGCTCTGTAGTCATGCACCGCTTCCTACTAGAAGACCGAGTACCTGGGTTTTCGTGAGAAAGAACCTCTCCAGAAGCTCCGTTTGCCTTCCGCTCGCACGGCGTCTCTCGATTTGAAGGCGTGGTTGCCATGGCCAATACGCGTATGCCGCAGGGCTGCGAAATAGTTACCGCGGAAGAGGTATATAAAATAGTTACCTCTAAACTCGGAATCTGATTGGCCAATTGCGTGTTACCGTAGTCTAGTCGTACTTAGTGATAGGGATTGGCGTGGTACCTAGCATTATAGATGTATCGGGCTACGATAGAGAGTTTTGTTCATCATCTTCTTCACCAGCGTAACTAAAAACCGAAAAAGATAAAGCCATGAAATTTTTCAGGAATGTACATATCGATAACCACATGTGCAACGTCATACTTTTTTGTTTGTAAACAATGTTGTTTACCGTAAAAGTGCCCCAGGCAATATATTATAATGGACATTACGACATACTACATGTGTCAGTGTAACTCACAATTGGTAAGAGTTATGTGAGCGAAAGTTTGTATACACAATGTATTCAATAGCCAACATCAAAATCACAACAATACATGTTTGTAAATAACAACAAATAGCCTCAGGCACTTTTCTTTAAATTAACTTCTTCACTTCTCAAACATTCCAATGGTAGCACGCATAGAGATGAAACTTGGTACGAATGCCTATTATATCATTTCCATGACGATTACATGTTTCCATGACAACCGCATAATGTTCGAAAAGTCCTCAGGCAATTTACTTTAAATTACTTCTTCACTCCTCAAACTTGCTAATTGTAGCACACATGGAGGTGAAACTTGGTGCACATGTGTATTACATCGTTTCCATGACGACCACTGCTCAAACTCGCTAACGGTACCACGCATGGAGATGAAACTTGGTACGCATGTGTGTAACATGACAACTACAACAACAAATAGCCTCAGGCACTTTTCTTTAAAAATAACTTCTTCACTCCTCAAACTTGCTAACTGTAGCACGCATGGAGGTGAAACTTGTTGTGCATGTGTATTACATCGTTTCCATGACGACTACAACAACAAAGAGCCTCAGGCACTTTACATTAAAATTACTTCTTCACTCCTCAAACTTGCTAACGGTAACCACGCATGGAGATGAAACTTGGTACGCATGTGTGTAACGTCGTTTCCATGACGACCACAACGACAAATAGCCTCAGGCACTTTTCTTTAAAAATACTTTTTCACTCCTTGAACTTGCTAACTGCAGCACACATGGAGATGAAACGTGGTATGCATATCATTTCCGTGACGACAACAGGCAATTAAATTTTTTATAGGGGCTTGCCCCTTTCCACAGAGATAATACGTAGTAGTATATAAAAATGAGTGGAGAAAAGTAAATTTAAAATCCTGCGGATTAAAAAAAGAGTGCATATAGGGATGGTATAAAAGGAAAGGGAGACAAGATAGGGATGGTGTTTGTGGAAGCACAGAGATGCTAGCGAGGAGCTAAGGACTCCCACAGGTCATTACAACAGCCCTATATCGTCGTATTGGTGCTTGACCACGGAGTAAAATCTTCCTCGCATAAGTATCAGCAACCCTGCATACTTGAATTTGGTTTTCTCGTATGTTTTCCATGTAATGATGTTATGCATGTACATTGTTTTGGTCAGCTGACAGTACACATAACTGCTCGCACCTTGATGTGCATACACTCCATGGGAATGTAGCATGACAGATCGATGACAACGATCATTATTAAGTAGTACAGTACTTAGCAATACTCTTTCATAACCTTCACTCCCACCGATACGACGATATAGGGCTGTTGTAATGACCTATGGGAGTCCTTAACTCCTCGCTAGCATCTCTGTGCTTCCACAAACACCATCCCTATCTTGTCTCCCTTTATTTTTATACCATCCCTATATGCACTCTTTTTTTAATCCGCAGGATTTTTAATTTATTGTATACTAAGTACTACCGTACTTAGTGATCCGCAAAATATGATGTCAGATTCTTATGCCACAGAGAAAGTAATTTAGCACCAATTTTTTACTTTAGATAAGGGAGAAACTTCTCAAATGTTACTCAAAGGTGATTGATGTTGCAAGGGGCTTGCACTATTTTCCAGTACAACATTCAACTTCTACAAATGCTAGTAAGAGATACCAAAAGCTTGCTAGACAGTTATTGTGTATTATCGTCTTTTAGTTTTTAAGCATTATAAAAAGTGATAAATTATTGCATAATGAAACCTCCCCCTTTTCAGGAGCTGATGTTGACTTTGCTGCAATGTGCAATTTAGCTTCACTAGCTACAGAGTATGAATGTGCTCCTATTATCCTACAAAATGGTATGGGTATGTTGTTACATTATTTGTATTATACGTATGTGTGTGCACCACAAAATAGTCTAAGATGCTGGGCAATAGCACTTACCTATCTTTATCTATAAGACTGAGGCTTGTGGGTTGTGCCTCAACACATATGTGGCATAAGAAGTTCATCAGAAAAAGTTACAGCTTTACCTTGCTATTTAGTTTGTCCTTCAAGCATACTTCTCTCACTTTCATTTATACCAGCCCCTATAAGTGAACATTCCGAATATCCTCTAACCTCTAAAGGTATATACTATAGTGTAAACCCTTGCACAAAAGGGACACACATGTAAGCAGCTCCCTAGCTGCTCGTTAGTGTAACTCATGGTAATATGGATGCACAGTAAGCACTGCTAATTCCTGGGCCACGACTCTCGCATGCTATCTACTACTGTGGCTAGCCCGTGTCAGACTCTCTGCGAGCTACTAGCGGGAGACCACGAGTAAACACATACTAAAAGCCCAGCCCATCAATTAGCGGTACCGCTGGTCTCGCCTTCTCACTAGCCTCACGGGTCAAACCAAAATGTTATGGGGGTGTATAAACTCTAAAGTCAGGTTCTAGAATTATAGCTATCCTATCCCTAAAGAACCATTATCTGTTTAACCCCTGCTCCACATAACAGACACACACAGACAGGAGCACAATGATGTGTTTGGAAGAATTGTTAGAAGCAGTTGTGACCAAGAATTGAACCTCACTATTCTTGGGAGAGAGTTTGTTATACCTCCAAGAAGTACATTTCTTTTGTCAAACCTCTGTCAGATTACTCCACTCTATAACTACACAGGTAAGTGGTATAAATAAAGTGTAGCCTGTAGTTCTGTTCTTTTATGGGTTGTATTTTTTCATCTACAGCTTGCAATGGAAAGTACGATCTGATTGTCATTGATCCACCTTGGGAAAATCGCTCAGCTATAAGAGGGAGAAAGTCAGTTAATAAGCATCCATTAAGAGGGGGTTAGGTGGGGAATAGCACTTAGAATGCAAGTATAGCATCCCATTTGTGCCATTGACCTACCTTCAGCCATCCTTGCCCACTATGGCAATACGCACACTGTGAAAACATCAGAACCAGTGGTCAAATTGTGTAGTTGCTCTTTATAAATTATTTGCGAATTAGTGAGTGACTGATCACATGAACAATGATTTGGGGTGCATGTGTGGAGAGTATTATATACTGAGTCGTTACCAATATTTCAGGTATGAATGGCTTCCAACGGAAAGGTTACCCGAGCTATCCATTCAAAGACTGGCAGCTAAAGGTGCATTGGTTGCTGTTTGGGTAACTAACAAAAGGAAATTGACTATGTTTATTCGCCAAAAATTGTTTCCCAAGTGGAACATTTGCTATCAGGCTGAATGGCATTGGTTGAAGGTATGTCTAGTAAAATTGTCTGTAAAAGTATTAGTGTGAATGCTATAATTATATAAAGCTGTGTTAACATACTATTTTGAAACTGGTTTCTATCTTAGGTTTCACTGACTAAATACTGTAATTTTTTGCACAAAGAGTATTGGTAAATAGAGTGGTGTACACACATTCTCACTTTTCTGATTAAGTTTACTACAGGTGGTGACCTGATACATGAGATGGACTCGGTCCATAAGAAGCCATATGAAGTAGTTGTCATTGGACGCTATATGGAAACATCAAGTGATTCTAGTGATTCCACACCTCCTCCTAAACGGATTTGTCTTGAGAGCAGTGATAGCAATCTTAAAACCGACAGTGAATTTGGTGGGGATCAGTTCACGGAACCAGAATCTGGGATAAGAAACTCTGACTACAGTTACAGCCCTCCTAATGATGTGGAGTTTTGTACAGAAAAGAGACCGATAAGAGAAAGTTCAAGCCATGAAGAGCCTGTACACCCAGAGATTATTAAAAACTTCGTATTTGCCTGTGTGGCAAGTCAAGCACATTCTCAAAAACCTTACCTAGGAGGTATGATATGAAAGTGTCTCCACAGTACTGCCTGGTACAGCTGCATTGTTGATGATTGCAGCTTTATTATAATACGTAGGCTAGTACCGCCAATAGCACAGCTTAATACTCTTGCACAGTGAGCACTTACTAACAAGATTTTTCAGGTTAAGATGGTTAGATTCCCGGTGCCTTAACACTGCCACTAAAACAAAAATGCAAACACTTCACTTATATCCCTAATTACTATAGATATATTAGACAAATACTGCACTAAACAGGGACGGAAGTTGGAACTTTTTGCTAGAAATTTACTCCCTGGATGGACATCTTGGGGAAATGAGGTGATTACAAACTTTTGTTTTTCTAAGGTGCGTTTCCAAAATGTTTCACTGCCTTTATTGGTTAGTTCTATTATTAGTAACATAACTAAATTTAGCCCTTTATACTGCCACATTCCCTAACCTAACCTTCTTGACTGTGTGGATCTACCCTCCAATCCTGCTTACTCGAAGGATTGGAGAGTAGATGCCCTGTCAGGATTGTATGGTCCAATTAGTTAGTAAATGGGAATTGTCAGGCACACTGCACCAAGAGAGAGGTGACAGTCATTATGTTGTGCTGAGGCAAGAGCCTAACACCAAGTCTCTTGTGTGAGGAATGTTTTTTTATTTAGGTTTTATTGTTCCAAGTTCCAAGAGAAAGTACAGACTACTGTGTCTACAAAAAACACAGGGGTATAGCAAAATAATGTATTGTATTACCTAAGTGCATCATGTGTTGAGTATTTGTACATTAATATGAAGTCGGGGTCTGCTCTTCATCTTCTCGTTTGAGTACACACATAACTAAAATTGTATGACACACAACATTATATTATGTTACTTTTTTAAACTCTGAGAAATGATTTTTAGTTGTGGGTGATAAAACACTATAAACTTGTTATAAGCAAGAAGGAGAAAATGTCAAAAATCCAGAAACACAGGATAGAAAATCTATGATATAGGGTTCTTTGAAAATGAGACTCTGAGATGATTTGTTTCACTGATTTTGTAGTTGTGCATTGCCTGTGAGATAAAAGAAAACCACCAGTATGAGATGGCAATGAAACAGTCATGAAACGGTCCACGGGTCCACGGACCAACATACCGTAAGTTTTACGTGATTCCAAATACACGCTAAAACGCGCGATATGTTAAAATGCTCACTTGGCTCGCCAAAAATCTGTTGCACTCATCCATATATGTAAGTAGTTGTCCAATAAGTATTGAAGTGTGTTGATGTGCACATTTTAGCTTGCACATGAAGCACCGCTAACTTATGGGGTCCGGCCATGCATGCCACGCGGTCTAACGAGCCAATAGCACAGAATAATGGTAACAGACAGAATGACAAACAACTACAGTAATGTGCATCACACGCCGAGGGTTAGAACATACTATTAGACCGGCTGTAGCTTCTTCGGTAGACCCCATCTGAATTAAAGCCATTCGTCTGTCATTGCTGTGAATGACACAAAAAGTATTGCAACACATTTCTAGAAATGCAAAATATATGGAGTCCGCCCATTGCTCTGGGTGCGTGGTCTATGGCCCTAGTGCTATGGCAGCCACCTGAGTATTATTATTACAAATTACAATGGTGTGTTTTTGGGGCAATATTAATACACCAGATCAACAAGAGTGCAAAATGCCTACCATTGCAGCAGCTAAACAAATTGAAGTTTTGGCATTTTCACGCACAGGGCAGGGCTGCTATGCTATGGGTATAAGTATGCAAGTACAATCCAGCATCCCTTGGGAATATTACGAACTTTCACAAGCACAAGCTACAAACAAAGCACCAGTATGGAGCAAGTACATCAGAGTTTTCAAGTAAGTCCATCTCTACGTTGAGCATTGTTGGAGGGAGCATTGAGATGGTGAGATGTTCCCATAACATTATGAAAGTTGCAGCTTTAGCACAAACGGGCATGGCTGCTATAATAAGCAGTAGTATGTTTAATGGAAGATTCGTACCCAGACCCCATCCTCCAAAGAGGAAAAGAGTCTGCTGGTGACAGTTCAGTGGTTACTCGTTGGTTGTGCTGATTCTGCAGTCTTCGTTTTCAGTAAGCCAATCATCAGATTGCTCACTGTCCCGTAGAACGAAGCTCCGTGCACGCCACGTAATTGTGAGCGTATTTAAACTAACTTGCGTGTTGTTATGTAATTATCACAAGGCTGCTGATTCAGCATAAACAAGAAAATGCTCAAAACGTCACCAGACCCCTTTCCTCGAAGGTTTGGGTACGAGACTACCTTAATGCTAGTTAAGTTTCTGCCAAGTTTGCCTTGATGACAACCGTCGTACATTTTTACTTCTGGCTGAATTTTGTGAGTTTATAATTCTTCTGTTCTAGCTGGCACATTACTACGTGACTAAAGTTGGGGTGCACAAATATAACAGAAGGATTGAGTGCAACTTTGTTCGCAAATGGCTTACAGCAACCTACACTAAATGAAAAGCACTAAGTGCAAACCCTCGGTGCACTATGCATGCACGGTATCGCTAATTGATGGGCTGGGTTTGGGCTATTACTCGTGGTCTCACACTAGTACTTGCGGAGAGTCTGATAAAGGCTAGTTACACTAGGAGTATACAGCAGTTGATACACACCCTTTATTGTGACTTCTTGTGCCTCTAAGGCAGAGCAGGCGGATGTTACGGCGAACAAAACACACTCTAACTTTTTAGGTAAGTGGTTTTAGAGAAAACGGTGTTTTCCTCATTATACTCAATAATCCAGTGTCCTTCATTGCATGTGTCATAGTGCGAGATGCGAGATTAAGCAGAGTGGACAGACAGACAGACTTATGAACCAAGTACCTGAACCCTCTGGTGCATGCACACCGAGGGAGAATAATTATGCTACAAGAACACATGGTGGAAGGTGGGTAGCTAGCTGTGGGAAACGTGATTGATGGAAAGATAGAAATAGATTCTACACGTTCGACAGGGGGCATCAATCAGTCAAGTGCCTATAAACCTATCTACCCACTGGAGATCCTGTGCATGCCACATTGCCGACCTGGGCTAACAACATTACCAACATCAAACCTACAATTAAACCGCATTTATAGCCATTTAAAGTCGTCAGGTATAAACCTACCACATTAAATCTCACTGTATAAGATGCATGCCTGTCTTGCATGGCAAATATTATGTTTGAAATCTGATTAATGCTTGGTGTTAATGCAAACTTACTGGAAGAAGCGGAAATTGACAACAGTACCTCCGGCTGATACAAAGAGAGTCTTGATATAGTCCTCATCAACTACTTCACTAATAGAACAAAATAGTCTAGGTTTATTGTTAGTTTGCAAGGGTAAATACCCAGAACAATCTTTGTTGTACGATGCATCAGCGTATCAAAGGCACCGACAGTACCATAACTGCTATATTGCGAACGACCGTGCTACATTTTCCTGCTGTTGGAAAACAAAGAACTATTTTGAATTTTCACGCTACAACAGGAAGGTAAGCACTTGAAAAGTAGCAGGAAAAATTTACAGCTCTCTAGATGCACCAAACTACTTCCATCTCCACTACCTACACGCCAAGAACGCGGCGCTCTCTATATAAATTAGTTACTCCGTTCGAGGGAACTACGGGATTCCATTGTTCCCGAGTATACAGAGTAACTAACATGTCTAGTGCAGAGCAAACAAATATGCATACGCACAACAGGCGACTGAAATTTGTGAAGACGCGACAGATGAGACCAAAGCGAGCTTTCAGCCACCAGCGGCGAGCCAGGAACGGTAGGAGAAGCTACAGCACTCACTGTCGTCCGCCGCACTTCGCGGAAAGGGGTTCCGCCCACTGTACGCGCATATATATGCGGGCGTGACGTACTGCTAGCGTACAGGCACTTATGTATAGCTATGCCCAGACTTCTTGTCTCTCTGTGGTTAGTGTTGAAGCTAAAAAAGAATTCTTGTGCATGATAAAGCTACAAGTTGCTGTAGTCAGCCTCAGATCATGCACAAGAGAGCCACTAGTCTCAGAACATGTTCTCTTACTGTAAAAGTCATGTATTTGTGTTGGGAAAAAAAACAAGTTTTCATATTATGTTTTCATGTTAGTTTTGTTAGCGTACGAGGTTTCATATGAGAAATCAGGAACCTCGTACCGACAAATATGATTGGTCAGTTCAAACTAGCATGCACTTAGTGCACACTAAGATTTATGCGTGCAGAATGGTCCCCATGGTCGGTCCTCCTTGCTTACTCCACTTCTAAAGTCTACCAGTGCGCAGTAAGCAGCAGCTATCGTACGCTGGAAAGCTATCTATATGTAATACACCAAGCTGTACTACACACTAATTACAGCACCGTTTACACTCATAATAGTACGGAAATTTGTGAATTCTGGCATGAAAATGAGTATGTTGATACTTTCTCGGCCGGCACACTGTGAAAGCATATATATATGTATTACATATCATACCCTCGGAGGACTGGTAATTAAATAATATCTAGGCCAGTATTTACGTGCATACAATATTTGATTTTTAACCCTCGGCCCGCATGTGCAGTGAGAGTTAACAGTACTTGGAACGGAACGGAATGACATGGGCCAGCTACACTAGTAGATAGGAATTGTGACACTCGACGCTTGACCTCAGTTGTAACCTATAAGGCGAATTTGGTTGAGGTAAGTCATGCATACAGGCATGTTCACTTGGTATTTGCGCTGTAACTTTAGAATGCAGTCTTACGAACATCACCAAATTTAACATCAACCCATGAGCCAGCATTAGCCATGAGCTGATTGGTGTCGCAGTTTTGCCGGCTTTTTGTACCTGGTAGAAAACATGGTAACAGACAGACACAATTACAAATCAAGTACCGTAACCCTCGCTGCGCAGGCGTGCCAAGGGTTAGCAAAACTAGCTCTGCTATGATAGACTGCCAAAAATATAAACTTACGGAATATTTGAGAGATGTAAGGTGGAACTTGGTGGGAAAATGTTCTGGTAGTTCTTTGATCCAGGTTTCTAAAGTGAAAAATCAGTAGTATAGTCATTGCAGGATGCGAAACGAGTGGAACGTGGCATATACAATTGTTTTGTGTATATACATGGTTAAAACATTGTCAGGCATTTCTGAAACTGAGCTATTCTGAACAATGAACATGCTGTCACCAACATGCACGGCAACTGCTTCTTTTTGCATAAGTCGTTGTGGTGGCCAACAGCTTCTAAAAGGCAAGTAAAACATGCACATGTGCTTTCTCTTACCTGAGTCTGCTTATTGTTTAGAGACATCACCAGTCACATAAAAAGCAATTTTCTATCGAGTCTAGAATGCTTATGGATGTGAGAACAAGCTTTTGCTAATGTGTATACACCAAACGAAATGGCAGCTTTGTTATTTTTTTGCAAGCAACTGCAAGCAGAAGTTTGACCTTAATTCACAATGATATGTGACATATATATAAAAATGGTAGGTTTGTTTCACTCCCCCACAACAACTATCCGAGAAAGCTTTTTAAAGGTTTACATGATCCCAAAAAATTGACACAAACTAGAGAGAACTGTGAAACGATTCACAGACAATACATAGCCTACTACCACTACATGAGCAGTTACAAACAGCAAAGAGACTGTAATGGTAGTAAATATTGGTACCACTAGATAACTTTCAGCGGTATTCCAGGACAACTCCCAATGTACAGCAGCAAATTTCTAATGGCCCTAGCAAAGTACGTTTGTGGCAATAGTTGAGGTATATCCTAGCTTACACTTCAGGGAAAAGCATATGCACCCACATTCTGAACACCACACAGACATGGTCCCTGCCATTATTTTAGTTCACACGCAGATATTTTTAGTGTTGCCTGATGAATCTGACATTTTGTGTATTTCACATAACAGTATTATTGAAGACCAAATCACCCCTTCTCCAGTGCCATTAAGGTAGCTATTACCCAGTGCCGTTAAGTTAGCTATTATGTTGCTGCAGTTGGAGATGTGTAATATAATGAATACAACCAGTCTAATTTTCTTACAAGACCGACAAAGGCTGTATGGCAACTGTAAACTCAGTTGTATCCAAAAGGCAAAAATGGCAGCTTTGTTACTTTGTGGTACTAGAGTTACATTCTTCTTTTGACTCATGCTGAACATGCATGAAGACATAAAAAAACAGTATCAGACAAAACCATAAATGCAATGGTTACTTCTGGACATACATGATGATCTACACATCGTAATGAATGACCTTGAAACGATGAAGAGGGGAGTTGGCATAATCCTCAGTTAGAGCATCTTCCTACAACAGAGATAAGAGAATACACAGAAAATCACACTCACATGCTGTGTACTTAAGCCCTTCACACAATCCGTATATGAAGTATGGATATTCACCACGGAAATGATTTGATACACATGCATACAATTTCATCTCCATTGCTAGCAAGTTTGAGGAACAAAGAAAGGATTATAGAGAAATGTGAATATAGAGCAGCTAGCATTGTGAACCTGGCTGTGGGGGGAGGGCCCTTAATTAGCAGATAAGGCCAGTGCAAGCCCAGAGTGGCCCTGTAGACAAACCCGGGTGCAATGGAAAGCACATTCTGAGTATCTCTCCTTTTGTGGGCCGGCACCAGTGCCGAGATGGAAACACTCCCAATGATGCTTCCCGGTTTCCCACTTCCCATGTTGGCATTGCTCACTTGGGTGAGCATTTATAGACTATAAAAGTCAGCGTCACAGCAGCTAGACAGACAATGAATACGTATGAACGACCATCAGCTTCGAAAAAATGCCAAAGCTGGAAATTGTCATTAAATGGGGTGAAGATGAAGCATGAAACTATAGTTCATATATAGCATGGGAAGATGGCACCTGCAAAGTGAGTTAGGCTCCCGATTATGGGGCACAGGAAAAGCAGCATGACTCCATTATGTTCTGAGGAGCTTGCTGCATGTGCTACTTCGGTTTGGTGTGAGAGGGGAAAATCGCAAATTGCAGACAACACTTTAACTACTATCAGTGGACACAATCTCAGACTAAAGATCACTGAAACTCAAGATCAAGGCATCCAAAAACTGACCCATTCCGTCATGATGATGATCTTGTGCCTAGTTAGAGCCGTGCTTGTTTAGTACTGCGTGTCTTTTGCCATTGCCCAAACGCAATGCACCGCACATGCACCTCTTCTAGACTGGTCTGTCTCTCCAGCCGGCCCTGCCTCCCACCTCAATCATGTTCTTGCTGAGCTTGTACTTAGGCAGCTACAGTAGAGTCTCGTTCTAATGAATTACTGGGGACCTAAAGAATTTGTTCACAGTAAGGGGAAATTGTTATAAGTGTGGCGAAATGTACAGTGCTCGGCTCCAAGGGTGTGTTGGTAGTATCCAGAATTTCGTACTAAGTGTGTTCTTTATAATGAGACTCCACTGTATTGCACTGATCCACTGACACAGTCCATGGTTCAGCGATATGGTTCTGATGGGGGTAATAGAACTCCTACTCCAGCATTTTATTTCATCACAGACGTTTTTTCATGAGCTGTGCTGTGCTACATAACACTAAGTTTTATCTCCATGTGCAGGAGTTCATTTACAAAAGGTGAAGTAAGGGGGGGGTGGTTGGGGCAAAGCTGTATCTGTGTGCATAAGCACAGGGCAACTAGGGGGTCTCCCCCAGGAAATATACTTTATTAGATGCTCTGAGATTGCAACCTCAGGCTCTTTTTAGTGACTAGAGAAGTGTTAATTCTTACAGCATAAATGAAAAGCACTAAAGTGCAAACTCTCGAAGTGCTAATTGATGGGCTGGGCTATTTGTATGCGTTTACTCGTGGCCTCCCGCTAGTAGCTCGCGGAGGGTCTGACACTGGCTAGATAGCATGTGGGAGTCAATACATGCCATTCGTTGCGACTTCCTGAGCCCCCAAGGCACACAGAGCGAGCGGATCAGGTCGTGGTAAGCCCAGTGCGATTACGCATATTGGCTTTTTCACTTGTTCCAGGAAAATCACCCTTCTATTCTTTAGGCTCGCGTAGTTTTGAAGCCGCTTATATCGCTAATTGGCCGCCTCATAGCCTGTAGTGCCAGAATAAGCGTCGACACACACACATGCACACACAGACAGACAAACCAACTACTGTAACCCTCGCTGCGCATGCGCGCCGAAGGTTAAATACCTACTGTGGTACTGTAGTGTTTCTTTGCTGCAACGCCAGTCAGGCTTGTTTTGCATATGTGACCCGCTCAGGAAAAAGGTACCACTTGGCGCAAAAATTCAAAATTGCGTTACGCGTATCGTTCGAAAGCACAACGCACGCTGCATACAAAGGACTCTTACAAGACCATCAAGGAGGTTCATGAGAACGAACTGCTTCATGCTGGCTACCACAAGACGCATGAGAAGATACTGAATCAAAAATCGGCACACAAGTCAAGAATATGTATGACCACTTCCAGATTTCAAGCATGTATTACGGAGTTCCAAGGAGTGTGGTCATGAAGTTCACGTCTCTGTGCGCCAGCTGTCAACTCCGCCAACCCCAGGTCTGAAGAGCACCCCTGAAACCGATCATTGCCAAAGGCTTCTTGTCAAGGCTGCAGGTACGAACATGATTGTGTGTACATGCTGGGAATAATGTATAGATGGCATGAGTATTGAAGTTGACTCTGTATGAACTAGTTCTACACTATTTTGGTATTCTTTAGATTGACCTCATTGACATGAGGCACCTGCCAGATGGCCCTTTTCACTGGATACTCCACTGCTCTTCAGACCTGGGGTTGGTGGAGTTGACAGCTGGCACACAGAGACGTAAACTTGCGTTGATCACTGGTCGAAGTTCAACTTCACCTATCCACTCGAGAGCAAAAGAGCAAGCTGCGTAGCAGTTGCTCTAACACAGCAACTATTCCGATACTTTGGAGTTTCACGTATACTCCACTCAGACAATGGGCGGGAGTTTGTAAATAGACTCATCCAAACAACCCTAAACAGTGGGCAGACTGGATGTGCACTATTGTAAAAGATTGAGGAGTGAAAAGATAATGTAAAGATGAAAGCACTAAAGTGCAAACCCTCAGCAGCCCCAGGGACTATGATTGAGACACATTTGTTAGGAGAATGCATACCTGGTTAGAGGTATGCGAATGAAAGTCTTTATACTAGTGTGTCAGGTGTGATCCGCGTACAAACACACTCAAAACTCGGCTGAATGACTCACGTCTAAAACACACTAGCAATAGCCTTCGAGTCCACATCACGCTACAATAGTTAGAGTGGTACATAGAGTGACATATATAATAAGATAATGCAGTGTCGTCATAGATGTTCTTTAGAAAAAATGGAGGAAACAGTAAAACTTTGCTATTCCAGCCACACTTGGGGACCTGAAAAAGTGGTTTGGTTCTCGGGTAAAACATTGATGTTGATCAATCCGTTCCAAAAACATTGGCTGCTTTAGCGAGGTGGCTGCATTTAGATTAGTGAGGTTCCACTGTATTGGGATGGCTTGAAGCACCAAAACGGAAGAAATGGGGTCATTACACAGCAAAGACACACAAAGCTACATGGCACCACCCCCACATCTTTGTCCGATATTATTCTTCTATGAATCAATCCTATATACATGCCCCTTCATTTTTAAGAAACATTTTTTTTCTTACTTAATGAAAAGCACTAAAGTGCAGACCCTCGGCGAACTGGGCATGCGCGGTACCGCTAATTGATGGGTTGGGCTATTATAGTATGCGTTAACTCGTGGTCTCCCGCTAGTAGCACGCGGAGAGTCTGACACGGGCTAGCTACAGTAGTAGATAGCATGCGGGAGTCGATACATGCCCTTTGTTGTGACTTCTTGTGCCTTCAAGATGCACAGAGCAAGAGGACCTGGTCTAGGTAAGCCTGTGCTCATTTGCATATTGGCTTGTTCACTTGCTTTTCACGCCATAACTTCTGAACGCGGCACCTTTACGAAAATCGCCATTTAAAAAATATAGCCAGTGTAGCGCTGAACCCATTGGTGTCACTTTTTTTACTTGTTTGTTGCGGTGGTGGCACAAAACGTGGTAACAGACAGACAAACCAAGTAGTGTACGCATGCGCGCCGAGGGTTAATCAAGAACACAACAATATGTACATGTTTTCAACAACAACAGCCTCAGGCAATGTTTATTACTGTTTATCATCAAAACTTCCTATGGTAAAAAAAACCATGGGACACATGAAACATTGCGGAAGAGATTGTGAGCGCACTGACGGTCCACTAGCCCATTTACACGATTCAGCAGTATAGCAATAGCAATGAAGTGTACAATGTTACTGTGTGCACATCGAAATCACAATAATCTTGTTGCATGGGCTCAAAAAAACTCACATTACTTCCAGCTTGTGGCATTTGAACGGTAGAATGTTTAGATAGAGTTACATGTATCTTCTTTCCATACAAAGTTACTCCATTCAGATTGGCAATAGCTATATAGAAGGATTACCATACAGATTGATAACAGTGAACAGTAAGCACATACCTGTGTGGATTTGCTGAGGTTCCTTAAACTGGACAAGGGCAGAGTCACGCTTGTTATATAGAATCTTTACACGGACCACATCTCCATACACACCTGCAAACATTTCACTCAGAATTTCACTCATTTTATGTCAGAACAGTACACGCCACATCAAATGCATGCTAGAACTTCCATATTTACTTTTCACTTTCCCTTTTATAAGATTAGTATTCTGCAATTTGCGGTATACTAGAAGGCATGTTACGTGGTATTGATGTGACTGTTGTGCATGTGGAAGAGTTATCTATACTATAGAACTAGGGAAAGCCTGGTCTGAGATAGACGTTAGGTGTAGTGACACATGGGAACCTAAACAGTGCATGCGAGAGGTTGTATATTGCTGCCCAGTTTCTCTGTATGGCCTCACTAATGGTTGTGTAGTCAACAACAACCTTCCACACCTAACCCATACGCATTAACATCAGGGCGCACACACAAGCAGCGGCTAGAATAAAGAAGAAACTGAAAGAAAGATGAGACGTACCAAAGAGAATGAACAGAGCATGAGGAGTAGTCATCTTGAGGAGAAGGAAGGAGAACGGATGGGAGATCCAGAGCACAGACGAAGGGAGACAGGGAAGTTGGATAGAAAGAAGTACGCAGAGTAGTTAGGAAGAGGTACAATTCTTATATAGAAGAGAAGAAGTGAAGAAATTGATGCTATTCTAATTTATACCTTTTCATTTAGGTTGGAGACCAGTACCACAGCCCCTTGAGCTGTTGTTCCAGTTGCCCCTGAATTGGAGTTAGCCAGTGCCACAATTGCAGCGCGAAGGTTTGCTAGTGCTGATTGAAAACACACATAGATTGATTATGCCCCTTAACAAATTCACACACAACAAAAATTTTTTGGTATGTGCTGGATGGTCCAAGATAATGACACACTAGCCTTATACCCGGGCTCTTTAGAAATCGGGATATATTGCTGTGTTACATAGGTGTGTCAGTGTGCGGCACCCTTGGAGATGCTTGCCTGAGGTTGTGGCTATCGGATATGAAAGCAAAAACCTTGGCACACTAGAAACAGGCGTAACACCCAGACAGGCCTTCGTTCCCCTTTTGTAAGCCTGGTCTTAGTCGGTATTGTGCAGTCTGGACATACTATATGGAAACAGACTAAATTCATGACTCATTACGACCACGCAGGCCTCTGCAGACCGCACAAGACTGAGTAAGACCAAAATGGGGACTGGAGACCAGCCTTAGAGAACACAAAGGAAGCAGATCTAGCTGAAGTGAAAGCCAGATCTAGCTTGCACATTGGCTTGTTCTCACCATGACTTCAACCTTAGAATTGTTTTTGTCAAGGCAGTGAAGGGCTGAACCCGTTCGTACAAATTGCAACTAGGTAAGGCAAACAAGTTAACTACACCCAAGAAAGCTGTAGGTATGTAATAGTTGTTGTCTTGGCCTCAATTGCCACATGGGCATAGATGTGACTGCCCTAACTCAGCCCATGTGGTCAGAAGGTAAAAACAACTACCTTAAGGTTACCATTAATTGTGGGTACTAATTTTAGCGAATTTAGCGGGAATCAGCAAAACCGCTAAATTATATGCGTGCTATGAATTGTGCAGTGCCTATCATCCGAGTGCCAACAGAATGGTCGAGCGTTTCCACCGACAACTGAAGTCGTCACTCAAAGCAAAGGGAGCGGCACAGCAATGAAAATTCACTTAAATAGAACATAAATGTTAGACATCAGACACAAATCGCTAAAATTAGTATACGCCAAACACACTCAGTGCAAAAACGATAAAATTAGTACCCGCAATTAATAGTAACCTTAAGGTAATATCTTTTCACATAGCGACCAGCCAGGTTTCCCTGCAGTCTTTGGTGAGTTTTGCTGTGAGTTTTGTCAAGAGGGAAGCCTAGGCAACTTGCTACACTTTATATACCCGATAAGTGTTCAACATAAGATATAGTGCCACACTTTTCTAGCGTTCATTTACTCTAGTAGGCAACATGCTAATTTTCTAACCTGGTGTCTGTAGAAGTGCAGGGGGTATACCTGGAAAATGAGAAAAAGGGAGGCAAATTGCTGTTAGAGCCCAAACTCCTATATAAGCGCACTATTATGCTATTCGTCTTTCGCAATGGGTGTAGGAACATCTTATTTCAGGTTTCATTAATAACCCCCCTGTGTATTCGTTAAAACCTAGCCCCTACATTACAAACTGTAGCATCCCATTTGAGTTGGCATGTAAATTATACAATGTAGCATTAGGCATTCCAGTTGTAAGCAGGAAAATGACCAAATTTGCCCCATAAACATTATCTAAAACAATTGTAAGCACAAGGCCACGGTAAGAACAGTTGTGTGATTTCGGAAGAAAGTACAACTAAAAGCTCTCTGGGAATTCTTAGACATTTTCCAGCGAGTAAGCATTAGGGAAAAAACGCCCAGTGGCCTTAGAAGGTTGTGAACTTACTAGACTAAGTGGGCTTGATTCGCATATACACTGTGACTAGGCAGCAGCTACACCTTACTTTCTATCATCACAAATATCAAGTTTTGATGGCATATAAAACATCATTTTTGGACTTTAAAAACCAGCCACTTGGTAAAGGTACACATCTTTTGCATACATATTTTCTCCTTCGCTAAAAACACGTGTAGTTGGAGGATGTACTATATGGAGATGTGATGGAAATACAATGAACATACGAGGTGCCTAATTGTTTTTGAAGTTCTCTTGCAAGTCGTGGTCCTGGTAGTTTTGCTTGGTCAGGCAGGCAAAAGCCGTGAACGTGGAACGCTACTATAGGAGATTTCTCATTTTGTGTGCCACATATACAATGAGAAAGCATTAAGTGGTAGGGTGTGCTTGCTCCTACTAAAATACCTGCCAATGCAGCTGAGAGGTCAGGAACATTAGAACTTCCACTCACTTCACCTTCACCTCCAGAGGGAAGATCTGGACGAGTGTAGTCCCTATAATGATGAATGTAGTATGAGAATCTCATTCCATTTCACATCAAATTCACAAACATTACACTTCTAACAATTACTCTACTATTCTACCAATAAGTACTCACGACAAATTGTACCTAGTTTTCTCATTGTTGAACTTCACAGTGAGATTGCTTAGTTTTGAGAAATCAATTCGGAGTGTGCAGCAACCATTATATATATTCTGACCATCCAATGCCTACAGAAGGAACATGTAAGGTTGGCCAAAACATAATAGCAAAGCAATTTTGGTTGTCTGATAAGCCATTATAATAGCACTGCTACATGTCTATCACCCTATCAGACTACCACTGGACAAATGAACGGCACTAAAGTGCAAACCCTCGGCGGACTGCGCATGCGCAGTACCACTAATTGATGGGTTGAGCCAAGAGTATGCGTTTACTCGTGGTCTCCACACTAGTAGTTTGCGGAGTGTCTGACACGGGCCGGTTAGCTATACTAGTAGATAGCGTGCGGGAGTCGATACATGCCATTAGTTGTGACTTCCTGAGCCTCCAAGGTACACAGAGCGAGCGGATCAAGTCGCGGTAAGCCCAGTGTGATCATGCACATCGGCTTTTTCGCTTGTTCATGGCATATCTCTTGAACGCAATCATTTCAGGAAAATCACCATTTTCTGTTTCAGGCTCACGTAGTTCTGAAGCCGCCAGTAACGCTAATAGGCATCCTCGTAACCTGTGGTGCCAGAATAAGCGTCGACACACAGACAGACAAACCAACTACTGTAACCCTCGCTGTGCATGCGCGCCGAGGGTTAATCATATGTAGTACGAACACAGTATGTGCTTACAGCCTTGGCAGTGGTGGCCGTAAGGGTGTCAGGGTATTGGATCAGAGCATGAAACTGACCTACAAGTGAAGAAACTTATTATATAAACAAATATATAGAATATCCTATTAAAAAACTTACGGTTCTTAGAGAAGGTTACAATTCTCAGAACACTACCATACTTGGAAAAGATCTAAAAAAAGCAAAGCAGCATTGGTCAACTCGTCATTTATAAAATTAATGCACAGTGGAATGCCTTGTACAGTTGTGTACCGGTATATATACATGTGAAAACGATGAGGTAGAAAGGCAAAGGCACAACAAACAAATCAACTACACCCAGGACATCACTATTTTTCCAAGGGAAAAAGAAGAGCTGCCCTTGGTTGGATATGAACCAACGACACTCTGCCGTCTAGGTGAGCGCTCTTCCACCTGAGCTACCAGGGAAACTCAGATGGTAAGGGTTCAAATCTTCAACAAAATACAACACATGCGAGTTTAGAAAACCATAGACACACAGGTGTCACACAGGTGTTCCAAGCACCAGTTAAAAGAGGCTTTGCAACTTCTGTGCAAATGCACACCAAGGTATATGAGAGTACATCCACTTCAAGCAATTTTAGTATATACTAAGTGAACCAACTAAGGGAAGGTGAGTTGTTGGGTATCAAAATTGAAAGCGAGTTACAATTAATTGGCAAGTGAAGCAAGCCAATCTAATCGTCTCACTGCAGCAGGACATGAATATGACACACAGCAGTTTGAAGGTGGCTTTGCTCGCCAGAAATGTGTTGCATTAGTTCTAGTATATGATTTTAGGCGAGCAAAAAAGAGTAGTTCCATTTTTGCATTCATACTTAGAATGCAAAGCACTGAAGTGCAAACCCTCGGCGAACTTCACATGCGCGGTACCACTAATTGATGGGCTGGGCTATTTAGTATGCGTTTACTCGTGGTCTCTCCCGCTAGTAGCTCGCGGAGAGTCTTACACGGGCTAGCTACAGCAGTAGATAGAATGCGGGAGTCGATACACGCCCTTCGTTGTGTCTTCTTGTGCCTTCAAGATACACAGAGCAAGCGGACCAGGTTGAGGCGATGCGCATGCGCGCTTTCCGCAGCGATAAAATGGCGACTACTGCCATTAGCCGCACAATGGTGGAAGCGCTCTAGCTTTGCAACGGGGCATTTTCAGAGAAAACTGTTGGAAAGTTCTGACCTTCATTGCCCGTTAGGGAGGTCGTATCGTTTGTGAGACGAACGAACACTCGAGAAGATGTAGAGTAACAGACAGACAGACAGACAGACACACAAAACGACTACAGTAACCCTTGCTGCGCATGCACACCAAGGGTTAATTACAAAGAACATTATGGTATGTGCAGTCCCTGTCACAATGAAACCAGCATTCAGATGACTAGGTAGGCTCGCTTCGTTCGCAAACAAGTGTGGGTTAGGTAGGGAAATTTCCTCATGTCAATGGAGGTTATGGTAGGGAATTTAAGCCAAACCTGATGAAGGACATCCAGAGTAATAGGGTAGATCATGTTTTCAATAATTATCCTCAGAACAGAATTAGGGCAGCCAGGAGGTACATTCTGCTGAGATGGACTCATACTAGCAGAGGAGTCGAGAACACTTGGACTTGATGCTCCAGCTTGGGATGGGGATGCACCTCCAGTTAATGGAGTCAACAAACTTCCAGGCTGAAAGACGTTAAATACATCACTCAATATAACCCAGTGACGAAAGCTGTCCATGCTAGCGCTTACATTATTCAGGTTTAATAGCAGCAACATAATGTCTGTTCTGAATGGAGATATCAGCCTTAATATAACCATGCGCAAACAGAGAGGAGGGGCATAAGCGTCCGATTACTTCATAGGTTGCTCTCATGTCACAGCATAGGTTTTGTTTTGGTACCCCATTCATATTTACTATTTTGCTTGTACTCACATGGTCAATTGCGCTCAAGTGCACAATTGCATCAGGTTGTTTGAAACTGTTAATGTAATAGATCAGTAGTGAAAATTTTAACCTCGTCAATACTCAATGCTCATTTAGTCTCAGGACCTGGCACTAAAATCCCAATATATATACTGTTAAACAGGTGGAATGAAATGCGCCATTGCATGCTTACATGTGCGAGTAGATATGTACATAATATTATTATACATTTCCAATGAATGACTGCTTTGGGATTCATACCTTGAGTTCTTGGTGTCTGGAAAACTGGATATAGACAGTCTTGTCTCTGCACAAAACAGTCAAATGTGTATGTTATACAACGGTAGTGCGCTATCTAGGGTTGGGCATGAGTGACCAGTCATTATAGGGCACGAGGGCTCAGCCCCAGTGGTCCATCAAAATTAAAGCTAAATACTGTGCAACCCAGTGGACCACAAGCAAAAGCAATTGCTAAACGTGTTTGTATGATGACATCCGGCAATAAGGCTCTAACCAGAGTGAGATTCTGCAAAAGCCCTATTTTTAGAGCACAACACTCTTATGCAGCAAGAAGCAAGAAGCGAGAGAGCAATCGAGCAGGAGAGACGGCCGCAAACAAGCTGGGCGATTATGACTAATAAGCAACAGTCAAAAATGAATATCCTCGGTCATTCTTCGAGAGTTTAACAGTAGAGGTGCGTCAAAGCTACATTTCTTTGCTGGATATCACTCATGTTTTATGCCCTGTTGGCCCTGCTCACCCGCCTTACAAGGCACTTAAATGCAGCCAGTTGGAATGTAAGCTAAGCCGACGATCGCTGGATACTCTTTCTGTTCAGGAAGCGGTTTGTGCTAGTTTTCATGGACTGTTTACCTAGAGGGGAATACCCCTTTGTTTGCTCAAGTTGAAATCTACTGCTGTTAACGATCCTTTGGCTAAGAAAAGCAGCATACAGCTGTAAAGGAACCTACATGTAATTGCATTCCATGCTGCCAATTTTCTACTATCCTATAACCTTCATACACCCGACTGTGGTTTATGCACTTGAGTTAGCATGGAGTGAAAGTTAGGGAAACAGTATGGCCTCTTTATATTCTAACTAATGCATCGCATCTACGTTGTTCAGACTGGGTGGAAGTCCTCTGATCTTAAACTTAGAAGGATTATTATGTCACACAGCAATTTGAGTTTGGGTACAGTCTTTTGGGAAAATACAGTGCCATGAACAGAAGTTTGCATTTGTGGACACTTACGTAGGTCTATTTCTCCGCTATGCTGTTGACAGAAGATACTGGTTAAAATGATCCCCTATCCGTGGTGATCAAAATGATTAGTTTGATATCAAGTCTTGTGACTGTGACAGCAATGGCCGCTGAATAAAGCTTCTTCAGAAAATCTGTTAGGCTGTATTTCCCTAAGACTGGGAGTTAAGAACTGAAACTAGATTTGTTCAATCCCAGTCAACAGGGCATCTTCTAATGCAACATCGCGATATTGGGAACTTAACTAGTGAAGATGGCTGCAAAAATAGAGACCTCTAAAATTACTTTCTTACCGAAATCCTTACGTACGCGATGAAAGTGAGTGGAAGAATCTGACGAGCACATTGTGTGACTTAAAAAGTTAGTGTAAAATGAAGAACAAATAGTTGTTTAACTGATTTCTGTAGTCCCTTCATTTGTTGTCACATGACCTGATCATTAACCCTCGGCGCGCATGCGCAGCGAGAGTTACGGTAGTAGTCTCGTGGGTGTGTCTGTCAGTTATCACGTTTTCTGCCACCACATGCACGAAATCAGGCAAATAGCGATATCAACGGGTTCAGTGCTACACTAGGTTGATTTTAAAAAAGTGATTTTCATTTTTAAAATTCTGTGTTCTAAAGTTATGGCGTAAAAACCAAGTGAACATGCCAATATGCAAATTAGCACAGGCTTACCTCGACCGGGTCCGCTCGCGCTGTGTACCTTGGAGGCACAAGAAGTCAAAACGAATGGCGTGTATCGACTCCCGCATGCTATCTACTACTGTAGCTAGCCCATGTCAGAGGTATATACTAGCAGGAGAAACGCATGCTAATAGCCCAGCCCATCAATTAGCGGTATCGCGCATGCGCAGTTCGCCGAGGGTTTTGCACTTTAGTGCTTTTCATTGTGATATGTTGATGTGCGTAGCATAATATCACAGTGAGAAATACGTCTAGATGTCCAAAAATGCATCCTTCGTCACGAACCATTAAACGTAAGTACTTATAACACCCTCACCCATCCCTATAATAAACAATTGCAACCTAAAGCACCACAATATGTAGAATCCCATTGTACCATTTACGTGACTCTCACTTTCATCCTCTGGTGTAACTTCTGCTTCCTCCATAGCATGCAATTAGGTGGAATGTGATCAAGTAAGACAGTGGTATTATGGATTATAGGTTTGTTGGCACTTGGCTTTCACAGAATAACGCAGTGATTTTATCAACATTTTAAATCAAGCTAGTATTGCCATCTAGCTGGCTTGCTACGTGTTATGGCAGAAAACATTGTACTTTAGGAACCAAGTACTTTATAACCCATGCTCGTATTTACACCGAGGGTTAGCAACTTGGTACTAGGCTTCTTCACTTGGCTTTCACAGTGATTTTACGAAAAATTTAAATCAAGCTTGTATTGCCATTTAGCTGGCATGTTACGTGTATTGGCAGAAACCATGGTACTTTAGGAACCAAGTACTTTAACCAACGCTCGAATTCACACCGAGGGTTAGCAACTTGGTCTGCAGCCACGTAGGTGAGCGTCATTCTGCCCCAAAAATCAACAATCAAAGGGATGAGGCTAGCGGAGTGCGATATTTGAAGTAAAAAATGCAGTACACTAGTACACCAAGCTGCTCTGTTGCAAGTGGGTAGTGTTTTTCTGCGAATGCGGAGATTTTTGGGGAATACTTTTGTTGAAACCCTTGATATTCAAATATGTACCACAGCCTATATAAATCTACTAGAGTTACAAATAAAGCACAAAACAACTATGCCAACGTATGCCCAGTTTGCATACTTTTCCATATCCCTCCCGATTGTTGTGCGTTATAAAAGAGAATCAATGGACATCCAGTGCTCCACACGAAATTCATATTTTTGATGATTTTCTCAGTTTTGAAGCATGCAATGCACACAAAAATGATCTGCTGATTAACCTGATAACAGTCGCATTATGTCAGTTGACACTCACGTGATGCAATATGCAGCAATAATGATGTGATTTTTGAGAATGGTTTAGCACAATATTTCCATAATACTAGATCTGAAACTTGAATCACATGAACACTTTTTTCAAGGTCTCCAGAGCTTTAGCACGGGAAATAGAGAAACCTGGGAGTTATAATCCCAGACATTACTTTGCATGTAAATAGATTCAAATTTCCAGATATACCCCGAAACGGTCGAGAGAACCACATGCCAGGACAATACGGTCACATCTGCGCAAGATCGTGGGGTTTCGCCGCCATCTTGTTCAGTGGTGATGTCAGGAGTTTTACCAATGGTCTATAATATGTCATTCGTGCACGTGCTCAACTGAAACAGCAAACGTTCTTTTACAAGCGTCAATTCTACTCTCGTATAAAACAGAATCTTGCCTCGCTGATAGACGAGATCCAAGCGTTCACTGCTAGCTGGCGTTTGCGTGCTCAAACTCAAGCAAAATGGGTTTTTGCGCATGCTCTAATCTGAGTCAAAGCACTTATGTGACTTCACATCAAATGTATTGCATGATGCATGCTTTGCACCCGTTTCATCTTGGGGCATGGTTCTCGAGGTAAGTCTGGAAAATAGCATCACCTCAGTGTTAGCTTACATCGTGTGACTGTTATCTGGTTCCTTAGTGAATCATTTTGATATGCTATGTGTGTGCATTGTTACTAGAGAAAATCACCAAAC